ATACGTATGCTATTATATATATATATATATATATATATATATATATATATATATATAGTAGCGGCTGTAAGCAAGTTTCATTAACGCCTGTCTGATTCTTCTTAAGAGTACTTCACTCTACTTGCGCGTGATCTATTCGCCAAAGATTTATACATGATTTTATACATGAAGCATGCACGATTTACTATATACGCGCGCAACTTTCTTCCCAGATTAGCGACATAATCATGCGAACGATGTACGACCTGAAGTCTGCTCACTGTTCTGAAGCAGGCGATAGCTGACGCGACGTTGAAGGAGCACGCCGACGACATCTACAGTCGACACAGCATCGAGAAGGTCGAACCTGGAAGTCACGAGACTGTGTACTCGTCTCGAGTTCGCGTCGCACGAATTGTCGTCGGCTTCGTGCCACAGTATGGACATAGTTGTGAAACTGCCCGCTAGGGAGCCGGCCGAGTCGACGAGAGTCGCTCTGCGACGTACCTGCTCATGCGGGATCCTTGTTAACGGTAGTCGAGTCTTGCATCTAATTATATTTCCAACGTTATGCAAATGAAAGCAATATCGCATACCGTACATATTCAAATTTTCCATGATAGATGGTGGCAGTGTATATTACGCATGCTAAGAAAAGTGGGCATATATCACGGGGATCAATGTTGTACGAAAAAAAATAGATATTCAAATCATGCGTTACTAACGGGGAGTGAGGTTGTTATTTATGCAGAGTAACAGGCGACAGCGGATCGATGTGCATCAACACAACCTCCACCTCACCGCTATCACTCGTTCATCTTTGTCCGCATTCAAATTGGGATCGGCGAACAAATTCGAAATAATAAAAATTTAACGATATACTAGCTTCACTCGACGAAATCAAAATGATTTATGTCATAGTGCCAGTGATAGCTAATTAAACCGATGCATGTCAGACGTGCATCTGATCTAGAGAAGTCACTCCGCTAGATACACACATAACAACACGAGTATACATGCACGCCGAAAACAACTCCGCAATCCAGCGAAGAGAAAGAGACACCCTATAGCATCAATCTGTGATAACAAGGAAGGAATATCAGTTTAGATGTAATCGTAATATATAAACTGTAAATTAACGTAATATAACGTAATTAGCTTCTGTTTCCGTTGATCGTTGTGCGCCAAAGCTTATATATATATATATATATATATATATTGCTATATATAGCTGTAGATAGCTATATATTGTCTACATGAGGGTGAGTCTGGTTGCCTGGCAATCGCTAGGGGGCGGTTAATGCTGATAAATGACCCCCCCCTCTCAACTCCCTCCACTCCCGACACGAGATACATGTAGTGACGGAAAACTAGACGGAAACTGATGGTATAGACATTTAATTACCGTTGTGAGTTTTTTTCGCGTCGCCCTCCGTAGCGTCGCTTCGCTATGGCAACATTTCACGCGCCAATACAGAGAGCGATAACGTAATTAGATTTTCAGTCAGATTCTGAATGGATGCAAAGTCAACAGGGGAGCAGCAACTGATCTCTATACACTCAGCGTTAGCACATAGATATCAATGCACGCGAGTAACAATGTGCATCGTAAAACCTGATCTACATGTTTCACTTCGCTCGCAGCGTCGAGCCACGATTCCCAGCTATGCTAATGTATGGGCCAATGGCGCTGCGATGTCGGTCGCCGTTGACTTCCAAGATAAATATTCTTCGGCCGCTCTTATACTTTCAAACTGGACCCGGGCAGGCTGACAGCACGTGTGCATAGTAAAATCTTATCTACATGCTTCACTTCGCTCGCAGCATCGCGCCACGTTTCCCAGCTATGCTAATGTATGGGCCAATGGCGCTACGACGTCGGTCGCCGTTGACTGCCAAGATAAATATTCTTCGGCCGTTCTTATACGTTCAAACTGGAGCCGGGCAGGCTGACAGCACGTGCACGCGAGTATGAGGCAATGGCGGTAGCGTGCGTGTTTTACCGTCTCGCGATGGGGTAATGCTATCCCCCGGGCGTGGAGGGACACCGCAACGTGGCAGCACTAGTATTAGGATTAATATTATTAGTATTAGTATTAGTATTAGTATTTGTATTAGTAGTAGTAGGGTTAGAGTTTTTGCATCATGATATCTGTCCCCACACCATAGATAAATTTTTGGGGATCACACCCCCTATATATAGCGCTCCGAGATATATATGTTTAGTGCTAGGGTTATCGTTGGAGGTGTTGGAGTTAGGGTTACCGGATGAGTAATCATTTTGAAGTATACGTCAACTGTATCACGTGACCGTCCCTCCACGCCCGGGGAATAGCAACACCCCTCGCGATGTCTGCAAACCCGCGCATGCGCAATCTGCGTACGATCACTGCGCAACGAACGCACCCATAGAAATATATAAAGACCTTCCTATATTATTTCTATGGTCACACTTCACGCCATAACTACAAGATCACTCGCTGTTCTTCGCCCCACACACGCGTCACTGCTTTAACGGCCACGCGCGTGTACTATTATACTCGCAGTGCGAATGTGCTGGACTGCACGCAAAGTATTGTAACGGCAATGAAATACCGGTAGTTGCGTGCCAGGCGATGGTTAGTGGCGATTTAGAGACGCGTCCATTGCTCTACTCGCCTTTATAATCTCGACCGACGGCATCCCTCGACCGTTGTTCCCCGACATCCACCTCCCCCTCCCCCCTTCCCCACCCCTACAGTCATTAGTATGACAGTCTCTGATTGCCTGCTGCCGCCTCCATACTCACAGCTATTGATGATTTTAAGTCACCTAACATTCGCGTTATCGTATATATGTCACGTGGAGCAGCAAATGGTTGCAGCCCGGCATGCACGTCATTGCTGCAGGCCGCGAGGGAGATCGGCTGCTATGCTAACGCTGGGCTGTCACTAGCACGGCGATGACAACCCCATTACTTATACTGCGTCGCTATGTACACACACATACGCGCACACACACACACACACACACACACACACACACACACGCACACACACACACACACACACACACACACACACACACACACACCACCCACCCACACAC